TAACAGAAACAAAAAGGACTATCAGTTTTGCATGGTTTTACGTACAATGGCCCAGAGTCTGCGCTGGGCTGCTGCACTCATGTGGAAGGGTTGGATGAGCCGGATTAAGATCAGGACTTGAACCAATATCTCCTCGTGGTTCTGAATTGACATACTGCCATCAACTTCACTTGGTAATCTAAGATAAAGAGCAGACTGATCAAGCTCTCAGGAGTGTCCTCATTTAAAAAGAAACTAATTGATGCCTCTGCTAGTGGCATTGCATTTCATTAATTTCTGTGGAAAATCACTAGATGGTTCATCAAAACCTCTGCGTATGCTGGAGGAGGCATGGCAGATTAACAGGAGCTCTTGAGGAAGAAGGTATCCTCTGCTTTGCAGGATGGATGAGGAAGAGCTTTGGGGCTCTGTGGGTTTCTGCATATGAAAAGTAATGCTTTGGGTCATGCCACAAGCGCCATGATCTGCTTTTCTAGGTGGGGTGGCCTTGCAGCCCCTCTGCCTGCGTGGTGGCTGGCAGCGTGGGAGCTGGGGTGGCCAGCGTGGTGGTCCTGCTCACGTGCTGCGCTGGCCCTGAGCTGCCAGCACCTATGCCATATCCCCCCAGGAGCTACACCCACTGCTTCAGCATCAAAACATACCTTAGATACCTGACCTTCATTTACTGCATAAGTCTACGTGATAAAATACATCCATCTCGCTTTCCTGTCGTGTTTGCAATAAAGATGTGTACGCAAGCTTAGGAAGTAAACCACTGACTGCAAACACTTCTTCACAAGCCATGGGTGACCCACACTGGGGCAGAGGAGCAGTGAGAAACAAGGAGCAGTGGAGGACAAGAAGTGATATGCAAGGGGCAGCAGACAGAAGCCACCATGCCTTGACCCCAAGCGCCTGCCTTGCCCATCACCTCACTGAAGGGACTGGGAGGGAGGAAAAGTGGGAGGCAGCAGGGAAAACAAGGGGAGTTGAGGTGAGGAAGGAGGGAGGTGTTTGTCTGAAGTTGAGTCTGAGGAAAGGTGAGGAAAGATGTTACCCTTAGTGTTTGTTCAATAGTATATGGTTTCTTTTTTTCCCTCAATACCCAAATCAGTAATTAAAAGTTTGTGTTAATTGACAATAAATTAAATTAAGTGAAATTCCCTGACCTGAGACCGTGTTGCCTGTGACACTGCAGAACAGCTGAATGACAGCCGGGGCTGGCGAAGCGCAGGCCCAGGGGGATGGAAGGGCAGCGAGTACGCTCTGCCTACCAGCATGGAAAAGCCAAGACGCAGCAGCAAGCGCTGGGTGACACCTAACTGCCACTGCCAGCTCCCACCAGACGCACGGGTGAAGCTCCTGGGGGGAGAGCTGAGCTGATAAGCAAGCTAAACATACATTTGGGACTAAAAATACCCTGGAGGACCTTTGCCAGAGGAAAAAATGTGGCCAGCGAGGGTGATTGCTGTTACCCGAACTTGTAGGATATTATTTACGTCCCCTGACTTTCAGCACGTAATAATGGAGCAAGTCTTCCTAGGCTCCTAATACAGTCAAAGATGAGACACGTCCCTTCAAATTACATTTCAGGGCTGACATTTAACCCAGGTGCTCTGAATCTCCACCTGGAAGAACCCATTTCTTTCTGTTTTCTGAACTGAGAGTACAGAGGGGCTGGCTGTAAGCTCCCGAAGGTGAGGGTAGCCTGAAGTTCGGTGGCCTGATTCTTGCCCTTGAAATGGTCTAGGTATCAATAAGTCCTTCAGCTTGCCAGGACTGCTAATGAGGAGTAGCCCTGCTTACCCATCAAAACATCAGAAATAATGCTTGGTAATTCTTCCCAGGCTACAATATTTGATTTTATTTGGGTTGAACTTCAACCTGGCCACACCTTAGCTACTATCTAGTTATGTAAACGTAGAAGGATGTTTTAAATGGAAAAAAAGGCCTACGTTGTTCACCTGATTCCTAATGATTCATACTAACCTATCTAGTGAATATCTCATGTTAAGGTTACCACAGTGTAGTATTCTCAGGATAGACTTGGCAGACATAAACAAAGGCAGTTGTGCAATAACATGAAAACGACACTTAAGCATCAATAGCAGTTATTCCAACGTACGGTAGGAGTGCAATTTGGTTGCTTAAACATAGGCAGCTGGTACCATTTTAGGAACCCTAGGGTATTTTGTTTCATCTCCAAGGCCATTGGGAAGGGCCAAGGTCTCCCAGACTACATCAGGCAGCCCTGTGTTTTAGGGCATCTCAACTGACATCAGAAACCTTTATTTAGGCAACTGAATTGTACCCTGATAGGCTTGATATTTGCATAGAAATGCAAGTTGTGGTGAACAGTACCTAGTAATTAATCACATTGTGATTACCCCTTACATGTTCAAAACATCAATACCATTTGCATTGAGGCTTGGTAATAAACATTCTGCTGATATAGCCACATGGAATATATGGCTATCCCAGGATTACTTAGCTTTTCGAAATCTGGTTCTGGATGCATCTGCTACTCTTCCAGGATGTAGAGCTGGGAGACCAAAGATCAAGTGGCCAGAAAATGAAAGGGGAACAATATATAGGAAGCTTCCTGCACCCTGTATGGAGGAAGATTCAAAGGAAAAGAATGGTGAAAATTTGCTATGGTGGACTGAGAGGAGAAGAAAGGTGATACCGGGAATGGTAAACAAAGAGAGGAAATAGCCTGCTGGTGGTGTTAGTTCTTGATTAGGAGTCCGCTAAGTTTTGGCTAGAGGGCTAAATGCAAGGAGACATTTTGTCAGCCCAAATGTGGAGAGAAAACAGAAAGACAATAGAACAATTAGACAGAGGAAGAGAGCAGAAGTGAACAACATATTGGCCCTATTACAATGACACACAGCTAGAGCTTTGTAGCAATACTGCCCAGCTGCCTTTAGACTAACTGAAAATGAGAAAATAAATCAAACTTTCCTTTGACTGTCAAGGGTAAAGAGAGAGCTGTTTCTTTTTCAGCCACTGGTAACCCGATAGCTTGCCACAGTGTATTTCACATAAGGAAGTCTGTAAAGCAACATCTAAGTGTTCCTTGTGATTAATATTCCTTATGATCTCCAGCCACCTAATCGCATCCTGACCTCAGTGAGGGTCAGCTGTGAGAAGGGATGGGCTGTGGGAGCAGGGTGGGCTACCAGGAGGTGCTGGTGAATGATGGAGCAGCTGGAGAGAAAAAGAGGACCTCTGCAGACATAAATAAATAAATAGTGGCAAACCAAAGGCACTGACCTCAGGAATAATGCCACGGCTCCAGAGCTGCACAGAGCTATTGAAAGAAGCAGGAAAATCCATTCCTAATGTCCAGATGCACTGAACGTAGGATACGCTTTTTTTCCCAACATTTAATCCAAAAAACTACAGCATAAAATGCAGTGCTCTCCTGAGACACAGAACGCCAACTCTGAAGGGATTCCCAGGATGCATTAACCAGTGCTTGGACTGCCAGATATGCTATATAATGCAGGACAGATATTCTGCACTGCATGGTTAATTCTTGCATTCTGAATGGTAACAGTGGTAATAAGCTTTCCTGTATTTTTTTTTCAGGAGATAGGTGCTTCCCTGGATATCTAACAGCCTGGACTGTAAGACAGTCCCTCTCACATCCAGACAAACTGTGTGGGCACCGCTGGTCTGAGCCAGATGTGTCCAAGCTGGTGGTCCATTAGATGTAGTGCCCGTGCACACGGATTTCACATTATGTCGACGAGGCCAGCTGGATCAAATACACACAATGCCGATTTTCTTTGCAGTATAGGGTTTCTCTGAATAGGCACTGTTTGGTAGCCTGGGACCATGCAGTCCTCCAAACCAACCATTTACCCAGGGTGTCTAAAATCCTTAACATGGCTCTCAGATTTTTTTTGAACAGGACACCTTTGCTTATAAGCAAACTAATTTCCAATCTGTTCCATTTCCTCTTCTTAATCTTTTCCTCAGAATATGCTTTCAGCCATTAAAGCATCCAAGTTGAAGAAAATGGGCCCAGGCAAATGACTAATAGTCCCCCTAAAAAAAAATCTGGAAATCCGAACTAGTGTACTACACACATTTTTGTTTCACCTTGAAGAAAAAAAAAGGCTCTAATTCGGAAAAAATGCTCTATTTCCATTTTTCATTTATGCAAATTACACTCTGAATAAATAAATCTACATAATCTCACCTCCTTGCCAGACAACTTGCAGCAACATTTGCCAAGAGGAAGACAGGCTTTTCTGATACTAATGCATAAAACATGCTGAATAAAAAAATTAAAATAAATCATAGTGAGTAAATAGCTGCTGTGCAGCTCTGGAAAGAATAATAGAGGGACTGATGAGTTGCTCAGGATTGTCTTGTTCAATTATTTCAAATATGCTACCAGTTAAGGGTATATTTAAATTAAGGTTTTAATACAGACGGTCATATCCTGAACCACTGAAATCTATAGGAATTTTTTCCTTTAGTTTCCATGGAACAGGCATGTAGACCTCTCTGCTGAAGCACCCAATAGTGTCTGTCAGGCTGTTGGTCCTGGAAGACCAATCTGTTCAACATGTAGCTGCTATACTGTGCAGGGGCTGCAGCTCCAAGCAAGCAGATCTCTTATGCTGTTTTGGGAAGTAGGAAGTGCCTTCCCTAATTTGATCAAAACTATTCCTTGCTCTGTGTGTCTTCTGTCCATGTGAGATACAGGCTTAGTGACTGTAAAGATTGCCACTGGTCTTGGGACTGCAACAGATAAAACAAAAATCAATGGCGGTATGTTCTGATTAGATACCAGTGCCTTTTCCCACTCTGACTGCATAGGGTAGATGCTGAAAGGCAACTCTTATTCTTGATGGTCCATCTAGGAACTATCATCAGTCAAACTCCAGTCATACATGGGGCTTGGGCACTCTCCTGTAACCTTTCAAATATCTTTTCACACTGGAAAATCTATTCTGGACAGCTGAATCCTTATGCTCTTTTCTCTATAGAATTAAGATTAGTCAATGGGGCTAGGTCCACCAAAAGGCTTGAGTATTATAAACTGCATCACCAAATTTTTAGATGCTGTGATGCTTTGTGGAATTCGAAGATGTCTTTTCTCGGTGGAGGAAAGTAAGTTCCTTACATGCTTCCTGGGGGCAGTAAGGTGTGGGATATACAAAGCCTACAGACTGAGTAGGACGCTACCTAAGAATGTCAGTAAGAAACCTTAAGAAAATATAAGACCGTGCCTCTGCTAAGAAATCACAGTTACAAGACTGGCACTAAAATCAGTGTTTTCTAACAACTACCTGCAGGAGGACAAGTTCTTTCTACTTGTTTAGTGTATAGTCTGGTGGTTAAGAGCATGCATGTGGGATATGGTATGTGATCCACATCAACCAACTCCCAGGAGAATTTCTCTTTGGTAGGCTATTTGGTGTTGCAGACTGAGTTATTTACTTGTCAAATCTGCTCCGCCATAAGTGAAAATACCTGGATATACTTTGGAAGAGAGAAAAAGACTGACCCCCAAAGCACCAGCAAACAGCCTGGTGGTTGTGGCACTTGGCTTTATCAGGTCAAATCCAACTTGGACATAGTGGAGATTTGAAGGCAAGCCTGTTGCCTTGCCCACCAGGCACCTCTTCCTGCAAGGTCTAGCAGGCTGGCTTGGAGAATGCCTCGCAGATCAGGTCCTTCAGGCAACGTAGGATGGGCATACCTTGATGAGAGAAACATGGCATGGCAGATACCTATGCCCTTGGAGACCTTACCAGCAGAGAGTTAAAGGGTTTGGGGAATTACAGTGAGGTCTGCATCCATGCATTCATCTGCTAGAAAGGCTAGATAAGGTAATGTAAATTCCAGGCTTCCAAAACTTGTGGTATTGGATTTAAAACAATGGATTTAAAGTTTTTATTTTAAAATCCATTATTTTAAAGCAATCTTACAAGTAAAATATGTAAATATGAAATAATTTTTGTTTGTATTTTCAAGCTCATTTCAAATTGCTCGGGCCAGAAACTTATTTTTCTCCTTTTTAAACAAAAGCTAAACTCCTTATTTAACCACAAAACTCCAGAAACCACAAATTTAAAAGAATCATCAAAAATTTTGATATTTAGAATAAAAGGAGGAGAATTTGACACTACAGATTTTTGTGACAACATAAGGTTAAATTTGGCTTACTGGTGATATGAGAATACTGAGCTCCACAGATGGGAAATGCAAAGGAGGACTCAGATCCGAGACTGACTGTGGTCAGTCCCTACGTAAGTAAGACATGGCTTTAGGAGCCCTCGAATTTCCTTGTTTCCCTGTGCAGCAGCTGGCCGTATCCCCAGGAGGTACAGATTCTTCTCTCTGCTGGCACTCTGGAGCTTCCTAACCAGCAGTTCAGCACAGAAGGAGGAGAAAAGGGGGTGGAAAGCACTGCTGTATCTTTTTTCCACAGCAGATATGTAGATCCTGATCCAGGGCTACTTGAAGCTACTTGTCCATAGAAGTTTCCAAGTTACATTTTTTTCTTAGATAATCTAGGTGCAGTTGAGCATCTTGATATTCCCCAATGTGCTGCAAACTCCATAGTTTAGTTCTAGGTAAGGCAAAAACTAGAGGGTTTGAATATGGGCCTTAGTTACCGAATGACTGCAGATCTTTGCAAGCTTCTGTTATGACAGACCCCTATCCACTTTATGATTTTATCTTGTATTCTCTGGATAGAGCAGGGTGTCTATTATTCCAAAATGCATGGCTTGCTAAAAATTCAAGCCAAGTTATGAGTAGATTCCACATACTGATTTATTAAACCGGAGTTTTCATAATTTTCACAATCAATCTTTCCATCACACAGAAGTAAAATGCGACCACTCGATTAGACCTCTCATCTGGCAGAAGGGCTCATTTCCCACCTTGCCTTAACTGTGGCCATATGCCAGAATGTGCTTATACTGGGTTGAAACTGAACTATATGTGAATTCCCACACCAGTTTTTTGTTCATTGTTTCCCTGACTTTAAATCTAGGGCACAGTATAACCCAGCTGTGCAAGTCATTGTCTCGTGAATCAGCTTCTCACAGAGCGAGGGAAAAAAACAACCCCTCCGACAAACTGGCAGTACTGTTACAAGGTGATCGCCTAGAGAGAAGCCATCGGAGCCGCCACACGCACAAACTTGTTCAGGCTAGCAAGCGTTGAACTTTGCCTTTGTTTAAATCATCAACACAATCTAGAATTAAGTGGAATGAATTCACTTTGGAATACTTGAAAAACAAGGCATTTCTATTTTTCATCTAACGTCCTAACTCTTATTGCATAGTCCTAATCTCTCCTTCAAGTTGCTTCCTTCTTTCTCTGATGTGGTGGACAAGGAATTTAAAAGATAGTCAATTAGATGGTTTTGAAACAGTATGTTAAAATGCCAGAAGGAAAAAAAAAACCAACCAAACCAACCCAGGTCACAGATTAGAAGGGCAGAAGGCTGATACTTGGTAAGTTTTGCCTGAATATAAATCAATAACGAAAGCCTATGAAGAGAACAGATGCGTGCAGTAGCGGCGGTGGCTTGTGTAATTCCGTCTAACGTTGCAGCGGACAGATTTATTCTACCGCAGTACTGAAAATGCATCTGACACCTTCCACGCGGGGCCTCCGTCCTCCGCGTCGCTCCGTGCGGCACCCCAGCCCCCTCCGGGCAGCCCGGGCTCGCTCCCCAGCGATAAATCTCGCTGCCGCCAGACCCGGCCGGTGACTCTCCGGTTTGGCAGCCGCCGGGGGCGCCGCCGGGGGCGGGGGCCCCGACAAGCGGGGGGGGGGCCG